TTTTACATAGTTGCAATTATCATGTATATGTTATTTTGGATCTACTTTTAAAAAGTCACATTGATTATTATGTATTTCTATGATATTAGTAGGTTCTCTCAAATCATTTCTATAAACTTATTAAAACATAAAATTCAATTGCTTTGCTCCTCCTCCTCCTCCTCCTCCTCCTCCTCCTTTTAGGTAATTTGTAGCATATTTATAATTCTTTCATTCCATAATATTGTTGTGATCTGCCAAGCTTTTAAATTTGAGAATCTAACCATCCTCCTCCTCCTCCTCCTCCTCCTCCTCCCTTATTGAATGTATTTAGTATTTAGTGGTTCCTCCTCCTCCTCCTCCTCCTCCTCCTCCTTCATTAAGCACTGTTTCTCTGCATCATTTCCTCCTCCTCCTCCTCCTCCTCCTCCTCCCATAATTTAAATATACACATAATATTGTATAGCTATTCCTTTTTTTATTTAAAAATGGGTTCTTTGGTGTTTCCCATTTGTTTTCCTTTCCTCCTCCTCCTCCTCCTCCTCCTCCTCCTTATTTCAATAAAATTAAAAATCAAATTTTCCTCCTCCTCCTCCTCCTCCTCCTCCTCCACAATCTCAGCCCTTTGGGAGGCCAGTGGTAGAATTGCTTGAGCCCAGGAGTTCAAGACCTGTCTGGGCAACATAATGAGACCACCCTTCCTCCTCCTCCTCCTCCTCCTCCTCCTCCGCATGGTGGCAGGCACCTATAGTCCCAGCTCCTCCTCCTCCTCCTCCTCCTCCTCCTCCGAGGATTGCTTAAGCCCAGGAACTTGAGGGTGCAGTGAGCTATGATCCTGCCTGTGCACTCCAGCCTGGGCAACTGAGCAAGATCCTGTCCTCCTCCTCCTCCTCCTCCTCCTCCTCCTATTCTTAAGGTATTGACCATCTAATATGTCCTCCTCCTCCTCCTCCTCCTCCTCCTCCTGAAAATAAAATGTGCTTTCTTTGACATTTCCTCCTCCTCCTCCTCCTCCTCCTCCTCCGTCAATTTTTTTCAACTGTTTACTTGTTGTCCTCCTCCTCCTCCTCCTCCTCCTCCTCCAAACTGTTTTAATGTTAAACACCAAATTCTCCTCCTCCTCCTCCTCCTCCTCCTCCTCCGGAGAAAAATCGGGAATTTGTTTTCATATTCCTCCTCCTCCTCCTCCTCCTCCTCCTCCTTTACCTCCAAAATCTAGTCATATCTTTTTCCTCCTCCTCCTCCTCCTCCTCCTCCTCCCCTTCATGAGTGTTTATTTAGCAAGAAAATCCTCCTCCTCCTCCTCCTCCTCCTCCTCCTTTTTTCTTAATGGTTAGATTCTATTCCATCCTCCTCCTCCTCCTCCTCCTCCTCCTCCGTGTCTCAGTCCAGTAGGACTGTTGTAACTCCTCCTCCTCCTCCTCCTCCTCCTCCTCCAACAGAAATTTATTTCTCACAGTTCTAGATCCTCCTCCTCCTCCTCCTCCTCCTCCTCCAGGTAAACTGTCCTGAGGGTCTCCTTTCTTCCTCCTCCTCCTCCTCCTCCTCCTCCTCCGGACAGCCAGCTCCCCTGGGGCCTCCTTTTCCTCCTCCTCCTCCTCCTCCTCCTCCTCCCTACCTTCATGACCTAATCACCTCCCCAATCCTCCTCCTCCTCCTCCTCCTCCTCCTCCCTTTGAGCATCTCCTAATACCATTGTCAGTCCTCCTCCTCCTCCTCCTCCTCCTCCTCCCCCTGTGACCTGCATGTACATCCAGATGGTCCTCCTCCTCCTCCTCCTCCTCCTCCTCCTGAAAATAGCCTTAAGTGATGACATTCTATCCTCCTCCTCCTCCTCCTCCTCCTCCTCCCTGATGCATATATTCTCCCCCACCCTTAAGAAGGTACTTTGTAATATTCTCCCCTGCCCTTAAGAATGTACTTTGTACGCCTATCCCAAACCTATAAGAACTAATGATAATCCCACCACCCTTTGCTGACTCTCTTTTCGGACTCAGTCCTCCTCCTCCTCCTCCTCCTCCTCCTCCTTGTTGCTCATACAAAGCCCGCCGGTGGTTCCTCCTCCTCCTCCTCCTCCTCCTCCTCCCCTTGGGGGTTAGGATTTCAACATATCAATTCTGGGGAGACGAAAAACATTCAGACCATAGCAGCCAGATAGTTAATATTATAGGTGCTCCTCCTCCTCCTCCTCCTCCTCCTCCTCCGCCTTTGTAGTGTGAAAGCAGCTATAGACTCCTCCTCCTCCTCCTCCTCCTCCTCCTCCAAATTTTATTTATAAAAACAGGCAGTGTGTCCTCCTCCTCCTCCTCCTCCTCCTCCTCCATAAGGAACTTAAATCACCCAACAAGCAATCCTCCTCCTCCTCCTCCTCCTCCTCCTCCAAAGACTTGAACAGACACTTCTCCAAAGATCCTCCTCCTCCTCCTCCTCCTCCTCCTCCAAGTTTTCTACCCACATCTCCAATCACCATCCTCCTCCTCCTCCTCCTCCTCCTCCTCCATACCTTCTCATATCACTCACTCTTGGCTTCCTCCTCCTCCTCCTCCTCCTCCTCCTCCCTCACACCTGTAATCCCAGCACTTTGAGATCCTCCTCCTCCTCCTCCTCCTCCTCCTCCGAGTTCGAGACCAGCCTGGCCAACATGGTTCCTCCTCCTCCTCCTCCTCCTCCTCCTCCTTACCTGGGCATGGTGGTAGGTGCCTGTATCCTCCTCCTCCTCCTCCTCCTCCTCCTCCGAGTTGCTTGAACCTGGAAGGTGGAGATTTCCTCCTCCTCCTCCTCCTCCTCCTCCTCCCAGCCTGGATAACAAAAGCAAAACTCCATCTCAAAAAGAAAAAAAAAAAAGAGTGCCCCTGACCCCCCAAAAAAAGATGCTGGTTGGGTCCTCCTCCTCCTCCTCCTCCTCCTCCTCCGAATGTAAATTAGTTCAGCCACTGTGGAATCCTCCTCCTCCTCCTCCTCCTCCTCCTCCCAGAGAACTACCATTTGACCCAGCAAGCCTCCTCCTCCTCCTCCTCCTCCTCCTCCTCCAATTGTTTTACCAAAAAGACACATGCACTTCCTCCTCCTCCTCCTCCTCCTCCTCCTCCGCAAAGACATTGAATCAATCTAGGTACCCTCCTCCTCCTCCTCCTCCTCCTCCTCCTCCGTACATGCACATCATGAAATACTACGGATTCCTCCTCCTCCTCCTCCTCCTCCTCCTCCATAGAATACCACGCAGACATAATAAGAGCTCCTCCTCCTCCTCCTCCTCCTCCTCCTCCCAACTGGAGGTCGTTATCCTAAGCAAATTTCCTCCTCCTCCTCCTCCTCCTCCTCCTCCGTCATCACTTATAGTGGGAGCTAAACAAGTCCTCCTCCTCCTCCTCCTCCTCCTCCTCCTAGACTAGGCACTACTAAGCGGAGGTAGGTCCTCCTCCTCCTCCTCCTCCTCCTCCTCCACCTATTGGTTGGGGTATACTCACTACCCTCCTCCTCCTCCTCCTCCTCCTCCTCCTCCCAGCATCATGCGATATATCCATGTAACAATCCTCCTCCTCCTCCTCCTCCTCCTCCTCCAAAAGTTGAAATTATTTTTTATAAAAAGGTCCTCCTCCTCCTCCTCCTCCTCCTCCTCCGAGAGAAAACAAGCAAAAACATCAGGATAGCATGACTAGTCTATTAAAAATGCTTTTCCATTTCCATGATTTTATTTTAGCACAGAATTCCTCCTCCTCCTCCTCCTCCTCCTCCTCCGTAATAGCAAAAAAAAAAAAGGTATTCGGTCCTCCTCCTCCTCCTCCTCCTCCTCCTCCAACTCGTCAGCCTCTTGTATTATTATTTTCTGTTGTCTTTGATTTTTAACTGTTACGCATTGTTGGAACACAGCAGCTGATTTTGAACTCCTCCTCCTCCTCCTCCTCCTCCTCCTCCGCTGAATATATATTTGTATTTTAACAAACTCCTCCTCCTCCTCCTCCTCCTCCTCCTCCTCTCCTTGTTTTGTAATGGATTGGGGCTTTCCTCCTCCTCCTCCTCCTCCTCCTCCTCCGAATTGCTTCTGTATTCTATAATACCTTTTCCTCCTCCTCCTCCTCCTCCTCCTCCTCCAGAATATTAACTCCATTTGAGATGTATGATCCTCCTCCTCCTCCTCCTCCTCCTCCTCCCCCAAAACTATGTAACTCTTAGATGTGATTCCTCCTCCTCCTCCTCCTCCTCCTCCTCCAATGGGATCCATTCTCATTGCTGACAAGGTCCTCCTCCTCCTCCTCCTCCTCCTCCTCCGTACACGTGTAGCTTTACAAGTTCACCCTTCCTCCTCCTCCTCCTCCTCCTCCTCCTCCTTCTTTCCTTCTTAAACTTTAAGAAAAGGTCCTCCTCCTCCTCCTCCTCCTCCTCCTCCGTACCTAAAAATATCAACGATTTTTAATCTCCTCCTCCTCCTCCTCCTCCTCCTCCTCCTTTTTGTCTTATTTTATATATTTCTTTTATCCTCCTCCTCCTCCTCCTCCTCCTCCTCCCTGGGAGAATGTCGTGATCTTCATGGAATTCCTCCTCCTCCTCCTCCTCCTCCTCCTCCGTGCCAAGAAGCTTCCTAAACTGGCCCTAACCAGTCTGTCCCCTCCCCACTCACTCTGTACATGAGGCACACCAGATATGCCCCACATTCCTCCTCCTCCTCCTCCTCCTCCTCCTCCCTTTCCTGGAAAGCCTGAAAAGGGTTGTGTCCTCCTCCTCCTCCTCCTCCTCCTCCTCCTGCTTTGTTTACTACCTCCCCCGGATAGGTCCTCCTCCTCCTCCTCCTCCTCCTCCTCCCTCAGTTGTTTGCCTTTTCCTCCCTCAACTCCTCCTCCTCCTCCTCCTCCTCCTCCTCCCCTCTCCCAAACACCACCTGTCACCTATCTCCTCCTCCTCCTCCTCCTCCTCCTCCTCCACATAATTACATGTTGTACTGAATCCACATCCTCCTCCTCCTCCTCCTCCTCCTCCTCCTGTATACCAATTAATCACGGTTTTTTTTTTCCTCCTCCTCCTCCTCCTCCTCCTCCTCCCATTCTGGAAGTTTTACACTGTGTTTTAGTCCTCCTCCTCCTCCTCCTCCTCCTCCTCCAAGAAGGACATATTAAATCCATTATCTCATCCTCCTCCTCCTCCTCCTCCTCCTCCTCCGTAAATGAAATATTTTGTTTCCCTGAATGTCCTCCTCCTCCTCCTCCTCCTCCTCCTCCAAATACAATAACTTTTAAAAAGTGTGTCATCCTCCTCCTCCTCCTCCTCCTCCTCCTCCTTATTATTTTTTGAGCAGTCGTGCTCTGTTCCTCCTCCTCCTCCTCCTCCTCCTCCTCCGAGCTCACTGCAACCTCCGCCTCCAGGGCTCAAGCAATTATCCTGTCTCGGCCTCTGGAGTAGCTGGGACTACAGGTACATGCCACCATGCCCAGCTAATTTTCGTATTTTAAGTAGAGACAGGGTTTTACCGTATTGGTCAGGCTGTCCTCCTCCTCCTCCTCCTCCTCCTCCTCCCTGCCTTTCCTCCTAAAGTGCTGGGATTATCCTCCTCCTCCTCCTCCTCCTCCTCCTCCCTCTTAATCATGATCAAGTAATATTGTTTTCCTCCTCCTCCTCCTCCTCCTCCTCCTCCGAACAGTTCTCAATTTATATATGAAGAAATCCTCCTCCTCCTCCTCCTCCTCCTCCTCCTGTTTAAATAACTGAGTCAAATGTAACTGTCCTCCTCCTCCTCCTCCTCCTCCTCCTCCGCTGATGCTTGATTCTGAAGGGGGAATTATCCTCCTCCTCCTCCTCCTCCTCCTCCTCCCTCATGCCTGCCATCCCAGTAATTGGGGATCCTCCTCCTCCTCCTCCTCCTCCTCCTCCGAGTTTGAGACCAGCCTGGGTAATATAGCTCCTCCTCCTCCTCCTCCTCCTCCTCCTCCAGCCAGGCGTGATGGCATGCACCTATAGATCCTCCTCCTCCTCCTCCTCCTCCTCCTCCGAGTTCGAGTCTGCAGTGAGCTATGATCGTCCTCCTCCTCCTCCTCCTCCTCCTCCTCCTGAGATGCTGTCAGAAAGGAAGGGAGGGATCCTCCTCCTCCTCCTCCTCCTCCTCCTCCGGCAGGGAGGGAGGGAGGATCAACTGAAATCCTCCTCCTCCTCCTCCTCCTCCTCCTCCTGTGCTCACTCTGTGTTTGCCATGGGGTTTCCTCCTCCTCCTCCTCCTCCTCCTCCTCCGACAATCTCTTACCAGGAAGAGATCTGTTTCCTCCTCCTCCTCCTCCTCCTCCTCCTCCCAGGTAAATTCAGACAGACAGTGTCATCTGACAGGCAACATAATAAAAGAATTAATGTTCTTGTCCTGTAGCTGACACTATATGGTCTTCCTCCTCCTCCTCCTCCTCCTCCTCCTCCTTCTGTATTTTTGCAGTGAATAACATGTCTCCTCCTCCTCCTCCTCCTCCTCCTCCTCCTAAATGAACCTAGCAAAATATGGCTTTGCTCCTCCTCCTCCTCCTCCTCCTCCTCCTCCCATTCCTATGTAGATAGATAATCATTGACTCCTCCTCCTCCTCCTCCTCCTCCTCCTCCGTATATGGTTGTATATAATTATGCTTTACTCCTCCTCCTCCTCCTCCTCCTCCTCCTCCCTTCAATATCATTTTTAAAAAATTTTTTTTCCTCCTCCTCCTCCTCCTCCTCCTCCTCCGGAGTGCAGCAGTGCGATCTCAGCTCACTTCCTCCTCCTCCTCCTCCTCCTCCTCCTCCCTCCTCCCTCAGCCTCCTGAGTAGATGGGTCCTCCTCCTCCTCCTCCTCCTCCTCCTCCATTTTTTTGTATTTTTAGTAGAGACGGGGTCCTCCTCCTCCTCCTCCTCCTCCTCCTCCTCTCCTGAACTCGTGATCCGCCTGCCTTGTCCTCCTCCTCCTCCTCCTCCTCCTCCTCCAGTCACCACGCCCGGCCCCTTCAATATCATTTTGAGGTACCTGCTATGTACGGTCAAAAATAGAATGTACAAAATGTAATATATTATGTCCTCCTCCTCCTCCTCCTCCTCCTCCTCCAGATCTGCCTTCCAAGGCACCTCACGTTCTCCTCCTCCTCCTCCTCCTCCTCCTCCTCCAGGGCTTTATGTGTATTCTATACTGTTTGTGTCTGTGCTTTCCTAGGAACCACTGGGATTCACATTTTATAGACGAAAAAACTGGAACTCCTCCTCCTCCTCCTCCTCCTCCTCCTCCACTGAGCTTATAACCACCATGCCACACTGTCCTCCTCCTCCTCCTCCTCCTCCTCCTCCCTCTAGAGGTACAGGATGAATAGGATAGCTCCTCCTCCTCCTCCTCCTCCTCCTCCTCCCATTGATTCACACGATCACACGGTGAAGTCCCACAATAGGCCGTCTGCAAACTAAGGAGCAAGGAAGCCAGTCTGAGTCCCAAACCTCTCCTCCTCCTCCTCCTCCTCCTCCTCCTCCAGCCTGCGGCTGAAGGCCCGAGAGCCCCTTCCTCCTCCTCCTCCTCCTCCTCCTCCTCCAAGCAGAAGAACTTGGGAGTCTGATGTTCTCCTCCTCCTCCTCCTCCTCCTCCTCCTCCGAGGAAGGATGGAAAACTCAGCCAGTCTATCCTCCTCCTCCTCCTCCTCCTCCTCCTCCTCTAGCTGTGCTGGCAGCTGATTAGATGGTCCTCCTCCTCCTCCTCCTCCTCCTCCTCCCTCTCTGTCCATTGATTCAAATGTTATTCTCCTCCTCCTCCTCCTCCTCCTCCTCCTCCAGGAACAATACTCTGCATCCTTCAATCCATCCTCCTCCTCCTCCTCCTCCTCCTCCTCCATCCCCCAGATGAACACATAAATAAATAATCCTCCTCCTCCTCCTCCTCCTCCTCCTCCCTGTGTGTGATAGTAGTAACATTGACACATCCTCCTCCTCCTCCTCCTCCTCCTCCTCCATAACGTCATCCTGTTTTAAACAGAAATGTCCTCCTCCTCCTCCTCCTCCTCCTCCTCCTTTGTTTTTTGAGATAGAGTCTTGCTCTGTCCTCCTCCTCCTCCTCCTCCTCCTCCTCCTTGGCTCACTGCAACTTCTGCCTCCTGGGTCCTCCTCCTCCTCCTCCTCCTCCTCCTCCGTAGCTGGGATTACAGGTGCACACCACCATCCTCCTCCTCCTCCTCCTCCTCCTCCTCCGATGGGGTTTCACCATGTTGGCCAGTGTGTCCTCCTCCTCCTCCTCCTCCTCCTCCTCCGCCTTAGCCTCCCAAAGTGCTGGGATTACTCCTCCTCCTCCTCCTCCTCCTCCTCCTCCTGTGTTTTTTTAAAAAAATATGATATATATCCTCCTCCTCCTCCTCCTCCTCCTCCTCCTCTATGGCAGAAACTTCTTTACATTTATTTCCTCCTCCTCCTCCTCCTCCTCCTCCTCCCTTAGAGATGTTTACCAGCCCATTTTCCAGGAGGATAAATGGAGGATGAGCAAGGTTTCGTAACTAGTGCCAGGTCACACAGCTAGCAAATGGATGCTCAAATTTTCTCTCTGACTCAGAAACCCATGGTTTTCCAACTAGACTTCCAACCACACTGTGCTGGAAAAATGGAAATTGTTGGGAAACGGATACAGCTGGTTGTTTTCTCCTCCTCCTCCTCCTCCTCCTCCTCCTCCAGTAAGTCAATTACATATCAAATTATGTTTCCTCCTCCTCCTCCTCCTCCTCCTCCTCCACACCTTCTATGTTTTTGTTTGTTTGTTTTCCTCCTCCTCCTCCTCCTCCTCCTCCTCCTTCTTTATATAACAGACCTGCCATTTTTGAGTAGTATGTTCTGAGACCTTCATTCATTTCTACCTACTGCTACCATAGGGTATATGTCTCCTCCTCCTCCTCCTCCTCCTCCTCCTCCCGAAAAATGTTTCTGTTCACAATGAGGCTTCCTCCTCCTCCTCCTCCTCCTCCTCCTCCGGTTCCTTCACAAACAACATGACCTACCTTCCTCCTCCTCCTCCTCCTCCTCCTCCTCCAGTTTAGGAAAATTTCTCCATGTCTGGAATTCCTAATAACTCCATTAATTCTAAAAGTCTGCTCTGAGTGTCTCAGTTTGTGACTTAATCCTCCTCCTCCTCCTCCTCCTCCTCCTCCAGGAATTAAGACAAAATAACGTTAGTTCCTCCTCCTCCTCCTCCTCCTCCTCCTCCTCCCGAAACTGCTGATGGAATGTTCACAGGGATCCTCCTCCTCCTCCTCCTCCTCCTCCTCCGTAGTTTTCATGATTTTGTTAGTAATTAATCCTCCTCCTCCTCCTCCTCCTCCTCCTCCGAGAAGCATGACTAATGTTTAAAATAGTGTCCTCCTCCTCCTCCTCCTCCTCCTCCTCCGTTATTCCAGCACTTGGGAGGTCGAGGCAGGAGGATTACTTGAGCTCAGGAGTTTGATACCATCCTGGGCACCATAGCAAAACCTTATCTCTACTAAAAATTAAAAAAAAAATTAGTTGGGCTTGGTGGCACTCTCCTTTAGTGCCAGTTATTCAGGAGGCTGAGGTGGGAGGATTACTTGAGCCTGGGAGATGGTGACTGCAATAAACTGTGATTGCATCACTGCACTTCAGCCTAGGCAACAGAGCAAGACCCCGTCTCAATATCCTCCTCCTCCTCCTCCTCCTCCTCCTCCATTATAAGATGTAAATGCAAACAATGGAAGGTTTGTCTGGACTTTTCTTACGTGCGATTCCTGTCTCTTTAAAGCATGAGACCCAATATCCTCCTCCTCCTCCTCCTCCTCCTCCTCCAGTATAAGAAATGGTACTATGAATTGATGTCCTCCTCCTCCTCCTCCTCCTCCTCCTCCGAAGCAACGCACCTGCGAGTGGGCTGGGCTTCCACTGAAGGGTATTCTCCCTACCCCGGAGGGGGCGAAGAGTGGGGTGGAAATGGTGTCCTCCTCCTCCTCCTCCTCCTCCTCCTCCATGGCCTTCATCTCTGGTCAGGTACGTGCTCCTCCTCCTCCTCCTCCTCCTCCTCCTCCGAGATCTTTTGCTGGACATTTCTGAAAGC